ACAATTCTTTGGCATGTATGTTCATTTTAAGTCAGTCTATCCTAGAGTAACGACAGGTGTGCAGTACCATTCTTACCTGACTTTGATGAAGAGTCCACCGAAGAGCAGGAAGGGCATGAGGAGCATAGGAGCAATGGCCATAGCTACGTGGATGGTGGGTGACACAGCCGACACAAAGTAACCTAGAAGAAGAAAAATGATTCAGGTTAGGTCAAGATGCCTGAACGTTTCATCTTGAATTCTAGGAGGCAACATCGTCATTGCAAGGCAGCCGAGCATGTGTTGGAAGGCCACACTGATGTAGAAAGTGAAATCAGCCGTTCCGTTATTGACGAGAATCAACGCCACAGAATACCTGTTGTGGCTGTGGCCACCGTTCAATGCACAGAATTGAAGGGGAAGTATACCCTAAAATCAAATCTTCACCAGTTGTAGTCTTCGGGGTGCTGAGTCGAATGGTCTTGGTCCGAGGAAGCTGAGACGCTCCCTTTCTCCTTTATTCCCAATCGAACTCGCGCACTTCTACCGAAACTGGGTGACTGCGCCCTACTAGATGGGGATTTGTATGCAAAATGTCACTAAAAGCGCCATTTCGTTCTTATAAAAGCACGGATGACCGCCATTGGCCCATATGTTGTAGTCTTATGGACGCTGAGTCGACTGGTTTTGGTCCGAAAAGGCTGCGATGCAGCGTTCCGCCTTTATTCCCAATCGAACATGGTTGAACAAGCGGTCACGTGCTCCTGCGTACACCAGTCACCTGGTCACCGTGCCTGCAGGGTACAACTTACTAGCCTGTTTGACCCTTTTTGGGTGCACTTCTGTCACTCGAGTTGAACTCGAGTTGAACCTTGGTGTGAAAGTTGTCGCCTGCTGGCGCGATGACCAGGTGATTAGGGCACCCAGGAGCACGTGACCGCTTGTTCAACCATGTTCGATTGGGAATAAAGGAGGAACGCCGCATCGCAGCCTTTTCGGACCAAAACCAGTGGACTCAGCGTCCAAAAGACTACACCAGATGGGCCAATCATGGTCATCCGGTCTTTTATAAGAACGACATAGCACTTTTAGTGAGATTTTGCATACAAATCCCCATCTAATAAGCCCAGTCACCCAGTTTCGGTGGAAGTGCGCGGGTTCGATTGAGAAAAAAGAAGGAAGGGAGCGTCGCAGCTTCCCCGGACCAAGACGATTTGACTCAGCACCCAGAAGACTACAACTGGTGAAAATTTGATTTTAGGGTATACTTCCTCTTTAATGTGGTGACTGTGATGTCATGTTATGGGTCATGCACAGTGTATTGGGATGTGCTGCAGGTCATGCACGGTGTATTGGGATGTGCTGCAGGTCATGCACGGTGTATTGGGATGTGCTGCAGGTCATGCACGGTGTATTGGGATGTGCTGCAGGTCATGCACAGTGTATTGGGATGTGCTGCAGGTCATGCACGGTGTATTGGGATGTGCTGCAGGTCATGCACAGTGTATTGGGATGTGCTGCAGGTCATGCACGGTGTATTGGGATGTGCTGCAGGTCATGCACGGTGTATTGGGATGTGCTGTAGGTCATGCACGGTGTATTGGGATGTGCTGCAGGTCATGCACGGTGTATTGGGATGTGCTGCAGGTCATGCACGGTGTATTGGGATGTGCTGCAGGTCATGCACGGTGTATTGGGATGTGCTGCAGGTCATGCACGGTGTATTGGGATGTGCTGCAGGTCATGCACAGTGTATTGGGATGTGTTAGTATAGGTCATGCACAGTGTATTGGGATGTGTTAGTATAGGTCATGCACAGTGTATTGGGATGTGTAGTATTATAGTGCAGCACATGTACAGTGCTGCTCACTAAAATTGAGTCAAATCAGCGCCGCCAGCCTGCACCATTGCATAGCCCAGTGTTGACTGGTCTAGGGTTGCATAGCGTCCGGCATGCATTGCCCAGTGTTGGCAGGTCTAGGGTTGCATAGCGTCCGGCATGCACTTGACTCACATGATCAGATTTCAGTGAACAGCACTGTAGCACACTTAGGGTCACAGTGTTATGAAGTCTATCCTATGGCTAGGTACTCGTACGTACTCATGGAGATGGCACACAGCGTAACCAAGACGATCATGGCCACCGCGTATCCGAATCGATCCAGCTCGTCGTTCAGACCTGAAACGCAACAATTCAGTCACGTAAATAAGAGGCTTATTCACAGACCTGGCACATGTGTTCACACATGTCACTCACTGTGTCACACTGCATGTCTACAAGCACTGCACAGTTCATTGATTTGAAATTTATTTTGAAGCTCTTATCAAAAATCAATGAGGACATGTTGAAACTGGTCTACAGCCTTGCTGTTAATTATTCTACCAGGTCTGCAAGAGTAGTTTGGACAAAAAATATACCTGGCGGGCTTAGCACTGGTGGACACTAGCAGGAAAATGTCCTCAGTTTTAGTACTGTCTTTTTACTTACAAGTTGCAGTTATCAGCATGAATACCACAAGATCCTGTGCTTACCTACACACTCGAAAGATGAAAGACCTTTGAATAGTTTCCATACTCAAAGAAATCGAACGTGCAAGCGTAAGCAAAGTTGCAGTGTTCTTGACTTTGGCAGAGCAACATCGCACTGGCAAGAGTACACATTTGTGAAGACAAACTTACCCACCATCCAGTAGGTGATTGACACGTACACAGCTGCATTGAATATGTTGAATGGTAGCTAGTAGGGACAAAGGAAAAGAGCACAAAGGGGGGGGGGGGGGGGGCATGACCAAAGGCACAGCAACAGTGGATGTTACATTTGTCAAGTATGAGAAAGATGTGTATCTCAACAACATAAAGTAACATTATAGTCAGATGTATTGCACTAGTAGTTTACAAGTACAAGCCTTTTGCACGCATGCACACGCCGCGGTCCGTAAATTCACATGTACAAACACATTTGAACAATGCACACGTATGCAGCATGCATGCGCACGTACACAGTGCTATCTGCAAGGAGTAACTAGACACTAGTTTGTTTCGAAAATGTTATCAGCAGTGGCAGGAGCAGGTGCAGAGCTGCCAGTGGCACTATCCTTACCTCTGTCAGGGTTTTGCTGAGGAAGTAGACATTTGTAGCGTACATTCTGTTCTGAACGTCTCGTAAGAACAGCGGTAACTCGAGAGGAAAGACCTGCACATGACAATAAACCAATGAAACAAACACGCATACACACATGCATACACACAAACACACACACATACACACACAAACACACACACACACACACACAAACAAACACACACACACAAAACACACACACACACAAACACACACACACACAACACACACAATGATACACGAGATTATAAACAGGAAAGTTGGTACTCCCCACAATGAAGCTCCCGTTTTTCCGCCGACTTATTTGTCACTTGACTGACTTACACTTGTCATCCAGAGCACACAAGAAGAGATCGTGAATATTCAAAAACAGAGCAGAGACGAGGGGCTAGGGCCTTTCCAATATCCCCGGGCATGCAGGGTATGGATCTGATCATACGGTAAATAATATTGAAAATGTTCCAGTTGCAAGTGACATGGCGTATGGATAAACAGTATGGGCGTGGTCCTGATTCTTCAATCTCATGTTCGAGAAGCCAATGAGCTGATCAACTTACCAAGCACTCACTCCTCAAACACACCAGACCTCCCAACCATGTACAAAGCTGTTCCCTTACGTTCCATAACCAAGATGATTTCCCCACGCACATTGTCATTTGTGTTCAACTCCGCTAGACTGCGGCATACATGCATACATCGCCGTGCGTTTAGAACTAGCAAACGAGAAGAGATGCCGATCTAACTCTCACAACTCAACACATACATACCATCGGGTGCCCAAGAACTTAGCAACGAAGAACGGACAGGCTAGAAATTCATCAAGCACAGAAAAGCGATACATGCAAGGTGACGCTACGGCGCAAAGACTGCTGCCATACATGTCCATGCAAGTAAGAACTGTCCAGGCTACGAGGCTGACCTTGCAGTTCTTCGGTACCTGACAGCAATGTAACTAATTTGAAAAAGGGATGTTGAAAAGGGATGTTGAAAAGGGATGTTGAAGGAAAGTCTCTCAACCTACTTGAAGCACGGAGAAGAGAGGGTTGAAGACTTGATTCGTGACCATGAAGAAGATGATTCCAGCAGCGTTCTGCACTCTGGACTGGTTATCCGCCATTCTCAGGTACACTATGCCAGCCAGCAGTGCAGTGAACTAGGTATCAATATGACATCACGCATGCCAGCACGCGCACCCGCACACACACACACACACACGCACACACACACACACACACACACACACACACACACACACACACACACACACACACACACACACACATGAAATAATTGTGTGTAATTAAAGTGGACCATATGTCCTCCGGAAAATACGGTACTGAGCTCTGTTGCCAATAATCTAAGTGTGGAGATGCCAAGGGCAGAAAGATGTAAAACTCAGCTTGTACAACAGCGTTGGGAGCAATGTCGTTCAACCCCCCCCCCCCCCCCCCCCCCCCGCATGCACCTAGTACGGTAGTGGTGACACCTCGCATGCATCTACTTCGAGGAAGTACGACTTACAATAGTCTGAATGAAGCGCACGCGAATGAGACCGGGGTCCCGGACAAACGCCAGCCATGATCTCTTCATGATCACTCTGAGTTGAGTGCACCATGACTCCCTCTCCCTGTACAGCACACAACATGGCATCGAGAAGCACAGACATCACATGCAAGTGCATCCACTAGGCCTCAGGCTGAGCAATGCACGGACATCAGCAAATTTAGCACAATGCATCCTCTGTTAGTGGTGTACATAATTCGGCTAAGTAGTGGGGTTCACTGGCATTGGTTCCTTGAATATACATGCACATGCAGGCCTTCATAAAATAATTAAAAATATACAACCTTTTTTTTGGAAATTTACTGTGTTCCGTGGTCTCATTATTTCCTTTCAACAAAATGTACAGTATTTTCCACAAGTTTAGTAGAAAGGCTCTGTGTAGAGTTGAGTGCTGGGAACAGTCCACGCATAGCGGTGGCTCTACATCTAGCCAAACAGAAGGAAATCCGGCACCGAGCTAGTGTACGGTTGTACAATCTTTGCTGTCTGGACACAGTACTGCGAAACCTGTCTAAGATGCTCAAGGGACCATCATAACAGACACGTAAGGTCTCTGTTACCAGTTGGTCTGCTTATCCTGGATCATTCGACTGGAAATAACATCCCTTGGTCTTGGTTGTGGTGGTCTTCTGGGACAGGTGGTCTTCTGGGACAGGTGGTCTTCTGGGACAAGTGGTCTTCTGGGACAGGTGGTCTTCTGGGACAGGTGGTCTTCTGGGACAGGTGGTCTTCTGGGACAGGTGGTCTTCTGGGACAGGTGGTCTTCTGGGACAGGTGGTCTTCTGGGACAGGTGGTCTTCTGGGACAGGTGGTCTTCTGGGACAGGTAGTCTTCTGGGACAGGTGGTCTTCTGGGACAGGTGGTCTTCTGGGACAGGTGGTCTTCTGGGACAGGTGGTCTTCTGGGACAGGTAGTCAGCCAAGTGGTCACTTTCACAGGTTTTACTGTATATGTTCATAAGTGGTAGCCATATTTCAGTGTCCTGGGACCGATTAATCTTGTAAAAACCAGGAGTGTTTTTTAAATTCCCCGACTAACCTTCCGACAAGATTGGCCGCCCTGCTTTCTTCCTGTGGACAAGTGGAGAGATGGAAAAGAAAACGAGCGCACAGCACCATGCTAGGGTGTTAGCGCACAGCACCATGCTAGGGTGTTAGCGCACAGCACCATGCTAGGGTGTTAGCAAAATACATTTAAAAATACCAATGAGACATCCCAGCAGATCAGCGGATACCAACACGAACGTCACGTGTGATGCTTACATAGCACATCTTACCAGGGACATCCATCAATTCCAAAAAGTAAATAATCCGGATAGTGGCCAAATTTAGGCGACCATTTTCTTCACTTCTTAGCATGTACATGACTTGTATGTATACATGTACATACATGTATATAGACACTTCACTAAAACTACGTAATTTTTGATTCATGACAACGTCAACGTCTTCTTTGTCATGGCAAAAACTGGATAGCCCGCAGTATGTGCCTAGGACTTGAAGGAGTGAAGATGCCAAGGTGCGCACTGTCATGCACACGATTTTTAGTATTTTTCACGACTCCCTGCATGTTGACTGATGACATATCACGTCCTGCACAGAAAGATCATTATTTTAACGAGATCAGACAACTTCACAAGAATTCTGCTGTTTCCAAAAAATGAAAAAGAATCTGCCAGGCCTTTCGTCCACTCACAACGTTTAGCTACTATCCGGATTTTGATATTTTTCAAACGTTTCAAATGTTTCACATGTTTCAAATGGCCCCTTAAAGGAACACAACACAAATCACAGGCTACCTTGTAGGTTTCCTCCGGAGCCAGATCCCTTCTCTCCTCGAACGCATCCGCAATACTCTACATGGGTACATGGGAGAGAAGCAATATATCTGCAATCAGTGGACAAGTCGTTAGTAAGAGAGGGTCATTCCAAAGGGAATTATAGGTATATGCGCCCAGTAGAAGTACATAATGTGTGGTATGAATCTGGAACTAAAAACAACCCAGTGACAATGGGTTTGCAACTGACACAAGAAAACAGGAAACATCAAGACAGACAGCCGCAGCACGGGCAAAGTGGCCTAACAATTTCCTCACCTTGACTCTCTGCCTGCACTCGTCTTCCTTGCGCGGCACAATCGCAAGTTTGTGCACAAAGAAATCAGCCGGATTGAAGTTGGGCGGACACTCATGTCCTTGACTGTGATGGACCCAACAAGCACATGGACAGCATTTACAGGTACAGATAGGCTGGCGATGTGCAATTGACACCAGTAGTGGATAGACCGGTCCTACTTATCAGAAGTACTGAAAATTTGGCAAGCGATTATACAGTGACCATTGTACGCGTGCCTTTAAGGGCTTACCTTCTGAAGTGTTCGATTGCCTCCTGGCATGGTCCCAAGAAGGCAGTGCGGCCTTCCGCCAATAGCATAACACTGCATATGATATTAGGCAACAGACAAAATCACATCAATACAATCTTGTCAGAGAGAGAGAGAGAGAGCGAGAGAGGGAGAGAGAGAGAGAGAGAGAGAGAGAGAGAGAGAGAGAGAGAGAGAGAGAGAGAGAGAGTGAGAGAGAAAGACAGAGAGAGAGAGAGAGTGAGAGTGAGAGAGAGTGCGAGAGGGAGCGAGAGAGAGAGAGAAAAAGAGAGAGAGAGAGAGAGAGAGAGAGAGAGAGTCAGAGAGTCAGAGAATAGTGTTGTGAACTATGAATATACAAGAAGAGAAGCACGACGGATGGTCTAGTATTTTTCTATTAGAACTTTGCTCAGAACTGATATGTATAAGCTCTGCGCTTGTGCAACGTTTGATTGCACTCCACAATACACAAACAAATGAGATTATACACACTATATACATATTCATGGATCACTGGCCCATTCATGGGTGACATTCGGAATGTAACCTGCATGGACGATATTTGAGATTTTTTACGCTTTTTGAGCCTAACACGCAGGAAAATATGCCCTACGAGTCATATAACTGTATATAATAGGCACAAGGATATTGGTACTGGTCTGGTATTTATAGCATGATCCCTCCTATGACTGACTAGCTGACTGGCCATGGGCAAACAATACATAACGACTAACCGATCAAACATGGTGTAGATCTCCGATGCCGGCTGGTGGATAGTGGTGAGGATGGTGCGTCCGGCCTGTGCAAGGTTTTGCAGCGTTGTCACCACAGATTCAGCCATGTAGGAGTCAAGGCCACTGGTAGGTTCATCCACAAAGAGAAGTGGAGGATCAGTCAGCACCTGCACCACATACAAAGAATAGAACATTCGCTATTCACTGGTTCGTAGGAAACAGGAAAAGTCTGAAGAAAAAATTGACTGTCACCACCAGGACTCAAACCAGGGACACTCGCTTGAGGCCAGCAATGCATTTGCTATTGTTAGGGATTACCATATACCTGAGTCTTTAAATGATTTCCAAAATAAAACACATCGTTTTAAATGGACACTGGTGGTTCGTACGGAAGACAGGTTTCTCAATACAATACCTGAAGAGGGCTAGGACTGATGAAGTTAGACCCACCAACCCACACACTGAACATCAATTCACAGACAAGAAGCATGGTTTGCATTCTGGCAACATACGTGGGTATTGCTGAATCTAACCAAGAGCTAACGTTAGTACGTAGCAAGATGACATACCTCAGATGCAAAGGACAGACGCTTCCGCTCACCGCCGGAAATTCCACGGATACGCAGCGGGTCTCCTATGGTGGATCCAGCGACGTCAAGCAATCCAACCTGGAATTAGCACAGAGCGCAATGAGCATGATTATTCCCGTGAGCGCCGCAACGTACATGACCCAGGACATTTTTTATAAATAGCTGATCACCCGCATCTCATTATGCAATAGCATAATCAGACTCTCTTTGAATGTCACTGTACATATCCAGAATCATAATATCAGCTGCAAAACACATCTGACACTACCCAGCACTCCTGGATTCCCTCACCATCACCCACGCATTCAATCAACTCGAAATGATCTCCGAGTGCAGCAGAAATACTGCTACCAGGTTGAGCATCATCAGTCTCTGCTATATTCTTATGCCACACGAGCTATACACGTACCTCCTGCAAGACTTCCTCGACTCTTTCTAGCCGTTGCGCCTCACTGTTGCCGTGGGGCATACGAAGAAGAGCCTGAAACAGTAGGCAGCATCAAACGATGACATCAAACATTAGCATTATCAACAACAAAAATCACGTATACTCAACAACACTGAGGCAGAACTACTAACACAATAGGTACTGTCAACTGCTCACACACTGCTCCATACCAGAGGCAGACCTAAATTTTCACATGGAAGTCAAAAGAATGTTTCAGCAATTTGAGGCCAGCCTCAGTTTAATTCGTGCCTAAGGATCTCTTCACAAGGGATCGCTTTGCATGAAGCTTATGGTGCAGATCGGCGTTCAGACATCCATGTTAACGAACAGCCACACATTATTTAAATTTCTGGTCACTTTTACGCTACCGAGCCTCTCAAGATCAAGATATGAGCATGGCGCTCACCTGGAAAATGAGTGTCTCGCGCACGGTCAGAGTGGAGATAAACAAATCCTCCTGCTGGATATAACCAGACACACTGCAGACAAAGTCTGGTTCCACAGCCTCGCCGTTGATCTGAATCTGGCCAGTCAGCTCCAATCCGTATGCATTACGACCGGCTAAGATGTTCAGTAGCGTTGTCTTGCCTGCGCCACTGGGTTATACAAACAGAATGGGAGATCGTGTACGAACAGGACGGAGGAATATGTACAAGCAGAATGGGACATCGTGTACAAACAAGCACACTTGCATAAACTCATCCTTCACGTTTGTGCGGTCCAGTATAATAAATTATTATATTAACTGTCTCTATTTTGTTTTGGAGAAGATCAGTATTACACACGCGGTACGCCATGTTTTGAGAAGAGATTAGGAAGATGAAGATGTCATCACTTAGAGAGCAGTACTCGAGCTGGTTCTATCATATGTAGTCAACAGTCAAAAGTTCCAAAAATATTTGAGACCCATTTTCGAAAGTGCATAGGAGAAGACCAAAGAAAGTCAGAGCTATCTAACATTCTCAAGAAATGGAAAGGCATGTGATGAGACTAAGCGCTAACAATCACCCGTATTTCGTTTTACACAAGAAATAGTGTGTGCTATGGCTGTACTGCGGCAAGGTCCACTCAATGCGCTGTATTAGTACTGGCACTTGTAGATGCAGAGTTGAAAGCCAGTGGAGACAACCCAGTATGGTGGCAGAAAGCACAAGCCAACACAGTGTAGTAACAATCCATTAACGTCAAATTCACGTCACAAGATCTAATACATACCTTGCACCCATTATGGCCAGGAGTTGACCTGGAGACACCGAGCCACTCACTGTACAATGACACAAGAGAAGAAAGGCAATGATTACAGAACTTAGCCAACTATTATGTCCATTCTCGTACAGTGATCTTGCACGGCGAAGTGAAACACGGCTAAGCCAATCTGGCCAGGCGTATCCTAATGCATCGAACCCATAGTGCAATGTGTGGTACCATACTAACTTGTACAACTCCATCCGGGTTGTGTTTCGGCACGCAAGATAACATACAAAACTGCACTGGAGCAACATTTGCCAGCATTTCTCACACCCAAAGTAGACACACCAAGTAGTGCTAATCTTGCACTCAGGTGGTATGCGTGCCTGATCATGTTGCCATCTCGCTGCTATTTGTGCACTGACTGTATGCTACTATGCATCATTATGGCATGTCACATGATGATCACCATGGTAGAAGCCAATCACGATGCATTTAGCAGGGCACGTATAGCATGTTCTTTGCCCTGAGAAGCGCTTGGCAGACAGATATTCGCTATATTTACCGTCCAGGGCGGGTAGATATTGACGATACGTGCACGCCTAGGAGGGCAGATATGGACGATACTAGTTCAGCATCTTTTTTTAGGACATTGGCGGGAAGTACAAGGCAAAGAAAAGTCTTTGTGAAGTGCAGCTGTTTAGGAATGTGACAAGCCATGGATGGCTGCTCACTAGCCCGACTTTCTATTTGGGTCGTGGTTATGACTCTGAAGGGACGACGTCTACTCTATCAGATGTCGTTGCACGTGGTTCTGCGGGTCATGAATCAACCTCCTGTGACCCCTCCCCCCTCTCCCCACGTCTCAGGAAGATAGGGAGATTCGCATCCAAGCCTATGTCTGATGTGAAGGAGTTGATCGACAAGACGGTGCCTGAGTCAATACGAAAGGCAACCAGGCAAAGGGTGAATTTGTTCAATGAATATTTTCCGGATGCGAAAAAATCAAGCTTGACCTGCGGACGAATCCTCTCCAGAAGATCCATGAAGCCCTAGCCGGTTGTTATGCAAATTCTTGAGGGAGGAATGACTTTGCTTGCCAGCGTCCGAACCTTAATGCCTTACGAACAGCACTTCAACACCGTATTCTTATTATGTGTGCAAACATCAACACAATCTCGGGGCAGGACTTCCAAGACGCCAACGACGTGTGTGATGAGCGGAGAGGTTGCAAGCATTAGGAAGTACTCCAAACGCACGATCTGGCCTATCGCAAAAAGGAACACGGTTGCGAATTTATTAAAGGGGAACTTAAGGCAAAAATTAAAATTTCACCAGTTGTAGTCTTCAGGGTGCTGAGTCGAATGGTCTTGGTCCGAGAAAGCTGAGACGCTCCCTTCCTACTTGAATCCCAATCGAACTCGCGCACTTCCACCGAAACTGGGTGACTGCGCCCTACTAGATGGGGATTTGTATGCAAAATGTCACTAAAAGCGCCATTTCGTTCTTATAAAAGCACGGATGACCACGATTGGCCCATATGTTGTAGTCTTTTTGACGCTGAGTCGACTGGTTTTGGTCCGAAAAGGCTGCGATGCAGTGTTCTTCCTTTATTCCCAATCGAATATGGTTGAACAAGCGGTCACGTGCTCCTGGGTGCCCAAATCACCTGGTCACCACGCCAGCAGACGACAACTTTCACACCAAGGTTCAACTCGAGTTCAACTCGAGTGACAGGACTGCACCCAAAAAAGGTCAAACAGGCTAGTAAGTTGTACCCTGCAGGCACGGTGACCAGGTGACTGGTGTATGCAGGAGCACGTGGCCGCTTGTTCAACCATGTTCGATTGGGAATAAAGGAGGAACGCTGCTTCGCAGCCTTTTCGGACCAAAACCAGTCGACTCAGCGTCCAAAAGACTACAACATATGGGCCAATCGCGGTCATCCGTGCTGTTATAAGAACGAAATGGCGCTTTTAGTGACATTTTGCATACAAATCCCCATCTAGTAGGGCGCAGTCACCCAGTTTCGGTGGAAGTGCGCGAGTTCGATTGGGATTCAAGTAGGAAGGGAGCGTCTCAGCTTCCTCGGACCACGACCATTCGACTCAGCACCCCGAAGACTACAGCTGGTGAAATTTTAATTCCAATCGAAGAACCGTCAAGCAGGAAACAGCTGGAACAAAGTTCGCGATGGGTGAATTCAACTCCCAGTCCACGTGCAAGCAGTCAGAAAACCTTATCCGGAGAATTAGTCCAAAGCGTGATCGCATAATCCAAACGGCCTCGTGCAGTGAGAAGAACGAGGAGTGGTTCAACAGGCTACCGCCGGGGAAAGCACGATTCGCGACATGATGAAGCTCATTTCTACCAAGGCCCGTTTATCCAAGCGAAATACATACCCTCAGAGCTTCGTTCGTCCTGTACTAGCATGCATTCGCTGATCTTGCCTTCGTACTCATGATTGATTCCATTCATACCTGTCTACTATCACCATACACAATTGTAGTAATACAAATAACAATAGTCAAAGACCTATGCAATAGGCGATACACTGTATAATTATAATTATGACATCCCATCCTTCGTCCCATCCTTTGTCATTCTTTTCCAACCCATCACAATTTACTGTACTTGATTGCATGGAATCATGTTCAGTACAGTGTACTTGAAGTAGTCTCGATGCTGCTTCTACAGCAATTGCATAATCAATTACATAATTGAAAACAATTGCGACTAACCATTTTTCAGAATGGTCTTTTCGTACTGTTCATCTGGACGTGATTGCGATCTCCTAGGTGCAGGGCCATCGTATCCGTTGTCAGTGTCGTCTTCGTTGTCGGCAGAATCGAAGCCAAGTCTACTCCGCAACGAAACGGATTTGCGTATGTGCACGTGCACGTGACTCCAGGATATGTGTACACAGGACTTCGCACTTGAACTGGCACTGGCAGCGCTAGCGCGAGGCTGACTCTCTCGACTGCTTCTGGAGTCGGCCAGCGCTCTGCGCATCAAGCGAAATCTCTCCTCGCCCGATTCCAAGAGCGTCGATGTAGACACGTCCGCAATGTAGTGTGGGTGCACGGGACGGCCAGGGGTGATTTGAAGGAAAGGCACAGAGTCGCTGACGATACCACAGGATGTGCTGGCTGCTGCGGGCACAGGCGAGATATTTCCATCCGTAGAACTACTTGCGCCATAGAACCCTCTGTGACCTTGCACGTCGTGAGAGTTATCATCCGCTGGCGACAGCAGCGACCTTCTCTCTTCTCTCGACGTGTCCATTTTACTGCTAAAGAAAAAATTAATATCTCCGGTGTGTGCATGTGCACAGAGAGTTTTTCACCGATCGTGACTTCCCTGAAAATTGACTCCGATTATTTCGTCAAAGGGAGAGACGAGACCACGCGTGCAGCACGACTCGATCGAGTCCACGAGCGTAGCTGACTGGCATGGGGCTGTTTTTTGTTGTGTAGATCTATGTCAGGATAGAATGACTATGACTCAGATTACTGTATACTGAGCTTGTACAAACTCCCATCTCTCCCCACACAACACTCCAGACTTGTATTTTGCATATACATGTAACAGGTACTTCGATGACGAGAATATAAACTGGTATATAAACTGGTGTATAAACTGGTATATAAACTCCTTTTTTTTTAGGATTACACTAGTGACCTGCAGTCCGCCTTGATGGTTTTTCGACATGCACGACGGTCCCAACTTCAGGATCTCTTTCCCGTCAACGATGAAGAATACAACGTCGTCCTTTGTAACATGTGCCTTGTGCTGCACCTGGCGTTCGAGGCTGTCCTTCTTTCGCTGTTTCAGCACTCCGTCTGTCAAGCGCAGCACTCGACATGTGCGGCTGAAGAGCCCCGCGTGCCGCTCCTCCTGCGTTTTTGCATGGACATAGAATGCAGATAGCAGGGGCGACGGAACTTCACTACTGATGGTTTTCCAATCGATGTTCTCCTTTCCGCGTCCCTCGCAGAGCGGACGGAACATGCGCAGCCATAATCCGTGGCACTGCCAGTGTTCTTAGAAACTGCTGCTTGAATAATAGCATCGTGATTCGTGGTCGTCCTCAGAAGAAACGTTTGGGAGTCGATTCAACAGGCTCGTGCTGATTCATTTTACTCTTACTTTGGAAAGGAGACGAACTCTATCATGTCTATGTCTCTAAAGTCTAATGAGCTAACGGTTCTTTTACAGAGCCCGCGGTGAGATCTGCGCGCGGTACCGGTCACTAGCACTGTGAGGTTCAAACTAACTTTACTTACTTGGCGCATAGCTAGCTGTTACTTCCGATGTAACTAGTACTTCAGTACTAAACTGAAGTCACAAAGAGTGTGTGATGGTACTGCACTAGCACTGCATGCACTGCACAGAGTCAGTGGTAGTCTTGTACTTGATCCGCACAGGTTGGTGAAAGGAAGACTCGTCGAGCCATGGTTGTGGGTTGGAATTCCAATCTCTACCCTTGTGGGGGAGAGGGGAGTTTGTATATCAGCTCAGTATAAGCATAATATAACCTACTCAGTTGATTAGGCCAAAACAAATAATGACCTTGTTTCCGGTCGGCCGACCGGGCCACTTTTTCCCAAATTCTGAAACTTTTTTTGGTCCCAAATGTATACAAACGGTGGCAATGCCATGTGTGCAAGTGCACTCAACGAGTCATAACTCAGTCAAATCTCAACCTAATTCCACAATCGAAACACCTACAAGGTAGCAGAGACTCTCAGCTAGCTGTCGGCTCGAAAACCTCCGAGGTCGATACGAGCTAGAATAACGGAGCTGGAAGGACTCGAACTGTTTGCTTGATTTCTCAGGATGTACGAAAACAGGAATACACCACATGCTGTACAAGAACAGGAAGTCAGTCAACTAATTTACTTTGACATTGATCCTTGCCATGATATATTATGTACAATGTACATGTGTAGGTGCTCTAGTGCATAAATACCACAACGATTGAGGAGCCAAAAAAAAAGTATCCAAAAAAAGTTTCATTCCGGCCGACCGAGTCTCCTTTTTGAGGGGTTGCCGACCGGAAACAAGCCTATTTTTTGTTTTGGCCTTATATGGGAAATATAAACCAATATACAGGTTTATATTTCCCATATAATCAACTGGTTAGGTTATATTATATACTGTATGACTCACTAGTATGAGTATGAGTATGACTACAGAGTACAGTCAGTCAATTTCGCTAATAACTGATAACGACTGCGGATACGTATACAACGACAATTCGCGAATAACGACAGAATTTCCATGCTCAGAGCAAAGTCCCATCCCACTGTAATACATAATGAGACTTCGGGTATAACGACACTTCGCGAATAAGGACACCTTTTTGATGCCCCGCCGAGTGTCGTTATAAGCGAAGTTGACTGTATTGTTGTCGTATGTGTAGGTCTGCTCTGACCTGGGAGTCTAGATCCGAGGCTGTATTTACTCAAATCGACTACAGTAGTACTAGTAGTAGATCTACAGTACAGACTAGTACTACAGTCATAGTAGTCGTTTCTTTATGTGGACAGCACGTGGTAGATTTTATTCTACATGAAAACGACTTGACATGTTTGACTTGACAGACCTGACAGACATGCCACTTTGCAAGCCAGAGAACGTGCCTTTCAAAAAGATAGTCACGGCAAAGAAAGTCACAACACATCATGCCAATAATAACAATAATACTCTATCCTACTGTCGTGGACATGGAAATCCGGTCGCACGTCCAGCGGCCCCAGGGCGCTGGCCATGCAGCCGTGGATAAGTGGCGACATGTATTTTACGCGCTGCAGCACGCTGGTCGCATCGGATCTATGTGCACTGCACGCAGCGTTCTGTACGCGCTGAGGGCGCCGGCCCCGGTCAATCGACTGGATTTCCACGTCCATAACAGTACTTCGGCCATGGATTTATAGGCAAGAAGAAAAAAGTGTCAAGTCAGCAGAGAAGCACAAGCTCCTATGTGGAGAGCAAACACCTTCCCTATAATTCTCTATCCTCCTAATAAATTATACAGGGCTCCTTTTTTTTAGTGATCTAGTGAATAATTGATTATTGGAATTTCCTCGATCTCTTGGACCTCAACGAAAAATCGATCGGGCAAAATCTACGTCCAATGCTCGAAAATTCGATGGCAGGCGAAGTCCATGCGCTCCATATTGCGCGTGCGACTCTACATCTCTCGATTGAGTCTGAGCGCTTGTGTTGTGAGTTTTTGATCAGTAATGAATTTTCCTGTGGAATAGTAGAATAATCGTTCGTTCGTTTGAGTGGTATTTGCTAGATTATTCATTCGTAAAATTCATGGCTCGCAATCTATAACTTTGCATGCTACGACACAAGTCCACAAAAAGACAATTCTTTATATTTTCATCGTCCGAAAACGTTCTAGATGAAAAGAAGAATCGTTGTCTTCTTGATTGTGCGGACTCGCGCCCGTGCATGCGAAGTTATAGATCGTGAAATTAGTTTTACCGTTTCTCTCAATTCTAGTATTACAACCATGAATACCAACGGTCAAGTAACAGTACATGTAGTTGAAAGAAGCATTATTATAATATGCACGCCATGGCTGGCTATAAATAATCGCCCTCACCTCCTCCTTGATTGGCCTTGGCCATGAGTGTGTGCGTTATAATAATGTACAAGTGTAAATCAACATGTGCACGCGAATGAATGGCACTTGATGGTTCAAACTGACGTACATACGCAGACTGTGTGCTCAAATGTACAATCATGCCATGAGAAACATTTCCAACATAAGTTCAGTACATGTATGTCAAACAGGCGCGATCAGCTCACCGGATTTCAGGATAACCTTGGCTTGTGAGCCTGCCTCCTCCTCATCCGATACGCACATTATTCTCTGCTTGAGCGACCGCTTTCCAGGCAACGCGACAGTCACACCTCTCCATTCTAGCTTGACCTTGTTGGCTAGCTCACTGCGAAGGCGATTGCGAAATACTGCCGCTCCCTGCTGGCCATGGTCCTGGTCTTCCATGGCCAAGGACACCGATCGATCGCTCTGCAACCAGCTGCTACTGTCCTTGCCGTCTAGGCGTCGGAACGTTCCGGAATCATCTGCGCTGCTTCTACTGCCAGTGCTGCCAAGCAGTGGGGCATTCTCATCAGCCATCATGTACTACCACTACCAGGCAGTATAGTCTACCAATCTAAACTGATAGCTTCTTTCAACCACCGACACCGAACTCTCTTCTTCGTCTAGTTTTCTACAATGCCAATAGGCAATAGCAAGCTCATCTGATGCAAAATCACCATCACAGTGAATGTCAAGGCTCTACTCCACTAGCTGTACTAATAATGAAACATGATTGTTACATCCATCAAGTTAGTTTGAAGCAGAGCTAGAGGTGAGAGTCACAGAGGTGTCGACATGTCGCAATCAACCGAGAAGTACCAGCACCTGTCCGACAAGCAATCTCCAGACGATCAACACATGAGCGCGTCCGACCAGGAGCCAGTGATAGACATGGATGCCCCGTCTCAGATTCCCCCTCCGCCACCGCTACACCCTCTTCCAGGAAGCAACTAAGCCACAAACAAATATGTCAAGTCTATCGATCTTTCTGACCAATGCATTCGGTCTCCAGTCCAAGTTCGGTGAGCTACAACATGCCCTCCGTCAGCAGACTGTAGACATTGCCATAGTAACTGAGACAAAACTCACTGCCGAGAAAATGTCTCCAGCTGAAACACTAATACCCGGATACTGCCCCGCAGTACGCAAGGACCGCACTGCACATGGAGGCGGTGTTGCTGTATGGCTAAAAGCAGGTCTGTGCTTTCGTCACCTTGACACCGTGCCATGTCATGACTTTGAAGTCATCTGGCTTCTTATTGAAACGTGTGATCATCATAAAATTGTATTCTGCGCCCTCTACCGGTCTGGGAGCTCCAGTGAGTCAGATATCAGTCTTATTGAGTATCTTGAGGAGACCTTGCTCGCTGTCCGGCACCTCGGTGACTATGTTCTGATCACGGGTGACTTCAATGTCCACAACGCCGCTTGGCTGGGCAGCACCAAGACCACTGTTGCCGGGGAAGCCTTAGAGGACTTGTGCGCCTCGCACTACCTCACCCAACATGTCTCCGAACCAACCCGCAAGAACAACACACTGGACTTAGTTATATCTGACCTCCCAGGTGCAGCATCTGTCACCACTGGTCCGCCGCTTGGACGCTCAGACCATGTCACTATCTTAACGGAGTTCAAGACCGTACGTCCCCGCAAGGAGCAACCGGCCCTAAGAATCGTCTGGCAGTATGCTAGAGCAGACTGGGGAAGGATGCGCGCACATCTTAGCCGCATTAACTGGCCAACTGTCCTATCAAATGACC